TTTCTTTCTTTCTTTCTTTCTTTCTTCTTTCTTTTCTTTCTTTCTTTCTTTCTTTGTATAACATCGGTGCTAGCCATTCGAAGAGCTGCTCCAGCGCGAAACATGCTAGCCGCTATCACAGCTGAATCGTGGAACACGGCTAAACCGTGCTGTGGTTTCGGCAAGTGCACCACATACGCAGCAGATACGTAGACGGCGTTCTACACAGCCGTTCGCGGTCAGTCTACGTGCGAACGTATTGGCGGCCTCAGAATAACTCGGCCGTCTGCGCCGTCTAGTGTCGAAGCCGTCTGCTGCTGCCGAGAGCATGGAGCCATAACAATGTCCTCCACAACAAAAGACTCATCACTATAGCGCAGACGACAATTTCGAGGCGTGATCCGTGGTACATCCGCAAAACATCCGTGGGACATCCATAAACGTGATTTTGTGGTCCGTAGAGATCAGTTTCCTAAAATTAACTAGAGGGGACTCTGGCGCTGCGATCGCTTAGCGACCATGGGATTGATGGGCAGTACACACATAGTCTTCGTACTTGTGGGCGGCGAATCGTACTTGCGGCTTCGTTTATTACTGTCTTTCGGTTTTGTTTTGAAAGAAAGATTCAACCCTTTTGAACTTCGTGACCCGATTCTGAAAGGTAAGTCTAAAGGAATAAGATGGTGAAGCGCAACCGCTGACCATTTGCTAATAATTGTTTCGTAAGAAAACAGTTCCAAGCCACACGAACACACACGGAACCGAAAGCAGGCCAGAAGTAGGACTATTAGACAAATGTGTGTACTACCCATCATTCCCAGGCTCGCTGAAGCGCCGTGCGTTGAAGTTCCCATTGACACCAGCGCCAGAGTTCCCTCTAGTGTATATTTGGAAACTCTATGGTAGAAATCACATATACGGACCGCGAGCCATCACGTCCACGGATGTACCACAGATGTACCACGGATGTGCGCACGCATCCACTGTTAAAGGGAACACTTGCGTGCAGGCTATGTCCACACTTAGCTATCAGCTCTCAAGAGAGCACTGGATGCTGGCTGTCACGAGTACTTTTTGACCGAGCATAGTGCCGTGCGCGAACGATATTTTCACAGCCACTTCCTGTTACACTAAATGAGCTAAATGGAGTGGTCCTTCAGCACCAGACTGTACTTTCATGCGTGCGTATAAGTGTAAGGTTTCCGTGAAGCCGTGCCGCCATATTGGGCCTTTAACCCTTGTGTTTTGTATCTTTAACAATCAGCAGAACCGTGATGCGGTATATGCACACTCATGAAAACGGTTGGGCTTGCGCGTGCGATGTTTCGTGGCCGTGTTAATTCTAGGCCCGTGTGCTCAGATTTGGGTGCACGTTAAAGAACCCCAGGTGGTCTAAATTTCCGGAGCCCTCCACTACGGCGTCTCTCATAATCATATAGTGGTTTTGGGACGTTAAACCGCACATCAATCAATCAATCACGTCTCGATGTAGAAAAAGCGAGAAAACGTCAGCTATATTATAAACAGCCCGAGATGGTGGCGCCCAGACATCTTACCAGAAGTAGTTTAACCACGCTGTTGTTACGTGGGCGTCGTTTCGTGGGACGATTGTTAGAGCCTGTAGTACGCATACCACAACACAGTATCGTGTACAGACCAGTTCGGTCCAGTAGCGGTCGCGAAATTGCTCATTGTCTTCTGGCTTATCCGCGATATGTACGAGCGATACTTCTCTCGCGTACGGAGTCCCGCCCTTTCGCCGCCTACCCAGTTTGTTTTTTTCTAAAGCGTAATAAATTAGCGTCTGTCGTTTTGTTCCTACTTAAGGAAGCGCCAGAGCGAAGAAGTCGGGAGACATTTATAGCCGCCTTAAGGAGTGTGGTACCATTTTTCGTTTCGTACATGCGGTTAGCTGGGTGACAATAACATTTTCAGCGCTGTGCTATAGAACGACGGGCGAATCAGGGCTGTAACTAGGGGGGGGGGGGGCGTTGAGAGGGTTTTGACACCCACCGAAAGCTTTTCGTACTTTAACTTTTCGGATGATGCTATAAAGTACTTAGGAGCCTCAGATCGACTACCAGTTGCCAAGTTAGCCGTTATACACATAAACAGCCCCCCCCCCCCCAAAAAAAAAAACAAAATGCTTCGATACAGACCTGGGTTGGAACGAGATCTTTTGGAATGCAGCACGCGTAAGTGGGTCGAACTTCTGACGCCGTGGAACTATGCAAACTGGGTGCTTTTAAAGGCCGGCTCGGAATTTAGAGCGGAGGTACAAAAGTTGCTCAATTTGTGGCGACCATACGAGAGGGAAGGAAGGGGGGGGGGTGGCTCCCTTTTCCCATCTTTCATGAGTCCTATAACGCTTCCGTACGTAGAAACCAGCCACCACACTCCTGCAGCTTAAGACGATCAGGGAGAGAGTGTTGCGGCTTGGGATTTCACGTTAGCGCAGGTATACAATCGGGGACGCCCCTTGCCGAGGCGGTATTTGCCATGCAGTGTGCACCGTGCACCATTCATCACCGGCGCCAGCCGAAGGCCTCCGATCGCCACGCAGGTTGCGATCACTGCGACACTCGGTGCCGGTGCGATGCCTCGCTCCCTCCTTTCGAGGACGAAGCAGTGCCGCATTTCGATCTAGTTCGATGTCGCTCGCACTGGCTCGTCCCGGTCCGGTTCTGTGCCGCTTTGTTCGATAAAGCTCGCTGGCTTGCTCGCGGATTTATAGCTTTGTGCGGGAACCGTGCAGCACACGCATTCGTAGCAGCACTTAAGTTGTAAAGCTTGCGAGAGTATCGCCGGTTAAGTATACGATCAAGGGAAGACGGAGGTGTGTTATAGCCGCAGAAGTTTGACAATAGCGCCCCTATAGGCTCATGAGACGAAAATATTAAAACAAAAAGATGGTTGAACACGAAACTTTCTCTCGTGCAATCATGCGTGCAATACGAATCAGTCCAAAGCCGATGAACACGTAAACGCATCCAAGAAGTGCTCAGCGACCAGGGGGTGCTGTTCTAGACACTGCCTAATTCCGCCATGTTGTCAAATTTTGTAATGGCGGCATTTTAAGCCAATCAGAGAGGTCGTGACAGCTCACTTAGCCAATTAGCATCAATCAATGGCGGAATCTGACAACACGGCGGAATTCGACAATGTCCGGAATATCACCCCAGATGCGATTCATGTGTGATTTGATTGCTCGCTTATGACTGTAGTTTTTGAACGCCGAAGTTGATTGAGAGAAACCTTTCGTTGACGCGTCGTAGCCTTCCTTTCAGAACGTGCAGCGCCATTGGTTACATGCGCACGCTCTCACTTTCGCGGACGATTCTTCGCTTTGTAAAGTGTTTCCTTGCGATTCCTGTGGTGCGGCGAATGCGCGGATGATTCTTATCGTTACAACTCCGAAATTTCGCTGTTGTGTTCGTCGATGCGAATGCGATGCGACATTGTTCTATTGAGCACGCCGATAGTCCAGTTGCGTAAGCTGGCTTTGATGCAGTGCGTTTTCGGTGCTCGAGGACGAATCAGGCAGCCATAGAAAGCTTTGCCTTTGTAATAATAATAATAATAACAATAATAATAATAATAATAATAATAATAATGACTTAACCATTATTGCACCGTACTTTTGCATAAAGGAGGAGCACGCACGCTGGCAGAGGAAGAACATCTTGGGGTCGCGGCAACCGATTTCCAGCTGCGACGCCGACTCCGCTCGTGCTCCAGGCGGCCCGTTCTCCTGCGATAAGCCTTTTAGGAGCGAAGCTCCTTAAGGCGTGGGCTGTGCGTCCCCTGTATGTAGCCACCTCTCGTTCAGTTCTTGCAGTGTTCACTAGATGGCGGTACTTGTAGCTGACGGCATTAAGTATTACGCTAGCCACCGCCCGATCTAAAGGGTACAGCCATATCCATCCGTCCATCCGTCCATCCGTCCGTCCATCCATCCATTCATCCATCCATCCATCCATCCATCCATCCATCCATCCATCCATCCATTCGTCCGTCCGTCCGTCCGTCCGTCCGTCCATCCATCCATCCGTCCGTCCGTCCGTCCGTCCGTCCGTGCGTCCGTCCATCCATCCATCCATCCGTCCGTCCGTCCGTCCGTTCGTCCGTCCGTCCGTCCGTCCGTCCGTCCATCCATCCATCCATCCAAAAGATGCAAGATGTTATAAACTAGACGGCGGTACGTGTAGTTGATTATGAAAGATGCGAGGTGTTATAAAATAGGAATGATGCCACATATGGCGCGTGTCATCGTTCGATATAGTGCGGCGACGTACGCTAGGGGGAGCGTTGCAATAAAATCGCGTGGGCAAAATGTACGGAGGATTCATGGTTTACCAGGTTTACCTCCGGAGCTTCGCCCACTCATCATCATTCACTTCGTGGATGTGGCGGCATTTTTTTTTCGTAGGCCTTTTTTTCCCCTACGTTGGTCTGTTTGCACGGACCGACTGTATATGGGGCCGCTCTCTTTCCCAATCTCCAACGTACGTGCCCACCCAACACCACCTAGAACTAGGTGGTGTTGGCTCACCGGGCTCGCAGTAATCCGGCGACTGCCACGCCGTTAGGAGGGATAATGTATTGCGCGTTTGTCTCCGTCTTCGGTGGTCTGTTTTAGTTGTTCTTTTGCTGGAGTTTCTACAGCCGCGTCGCGGATTACGTGCGATTGCGCCCGCAGAGAGAACGAAGCAACGATGCTTAGGCGGTTAAAACGCCTATGCGATTAAACGTCGTGGGCATCTTTCACCGAGCTCGAACGCACTATCACGCGCGCGTTTACGTCGCCGTCGAAAAGGGAGATGGGGATGCGGAGGCCACACCTGATTATGCGTCTCGCCATTTCTCTTAGTGCGGTACGACTGCGGTGCTTCCTTGCATGATATATTCACGCATGGGACGACGGTGTACCGTTTATCGCTCATTGCTGATGTATCGCCTCATATGCTGTATGGACGACGTTTAGGCAATGTAAAAGCTTTAATGCGGAGATGTATACGTGGTCAGTACGAGAGTGCTACGCATACAGCTCGGTTGGGGGCATTCTCCTCCAAACCCTCTTTCCATAGCTCCCCCTCTGAAAAAAAAAAAAAAATCATGTTCAGGAGTGTCTCAGTCTAGTGGTACATTAGGGTCACAGTATGAGAGCGCCCTGGCCGTATTTTAAAGGGGTGAATTCAAAAGCTTTGAAAGCTCGCGTGCATGTAATGTTCCTTCTTTTTTGTCATGTACAGACCCGCTTATTTTAGCGGTAGTGAGTTGGTCTTTGACAGCGATATCTCAGAGCCTTCGGAACGCTCTGATGAAGCCACCGGATACACTACAGACAAAGAAAAAAAAAACAATGTGAGGCTTAATTAGGAAATTCATTTTTATTTGCTGAGCTTCATTCTTTTGCTTGTATTTCCTTCAATGTTTTCTTTCTTTCATTTTTCTCTACAGAGCCAATAATAGATTGTAAAATGCAGTAAACTGCTCTTACTGCATGCAGCGTTTGGTTCGCTCGCTCGCCGACTCTGATAGAACATGTTTTTTGTTGTTATTGTTGTTTTTATTTTACTCCTCCTCAAATCGACTAAGAAAAGATGTTTTATGTGACGCGAAAAAAAAACTGAACGAAGTGTTTGAAAATGTAATTAGCTGTTCCTTTTTAACCACTGTTCTTAATTTATCGTTTCAAGAGTCTAGGGCGGTATTTTGGACGTTTGATACCCGCTGTGGTATATTCTAACTCCGTGACTATGCGGAGTCCTACAATTCAGTGCAGTGTAGCGGCTTCGTTCATATAGTACGCATGAAATAAAGCTTCAGTGAGAAGCTGCAACGGGGCTAGGACGACAAAGTTACAATCGGTGAGTCAACCACTCAATCAATCAATCAACCAATCAATGAATCAATCAAAGAAAGCAATTTTTCACCCTGTTCTGCTGTCACTTGCTGCGAGCTACTCATCGTCGTCATTTAAGGCTATGCAATCATTCAATCAAAGGCGGATAATGTTGTAGGCCCGTGTGCTCCGATTTGGGTGCACGTTAAAGAACCCCAGGTGGTCGAAATTTCCGGAGCCCTCCACTACGGCGTCTCTCATAATCATATGGTGGTTTTGGGACGTTGAATCCCACATATCAATCAATAATTCAATCAATCAATCAATCAATCAATCAATCAATCGGACTCGATGGCCGGAGGAGCCCAGTTTTCCAGTAGCCCAGTTTTCCGAGAAACCGTCACCGGCATCCGGTGGCCGGCATCTGTCACGTCAGCGTCTCGACTGCTTGTTGCACCACAGACTCGACTGCTCAGGTCGCGGAAGATTCGTGAGCCAAGGTCGGATCGTCTAACGAGGAGGTGGCGCCAGAGAATCGGGGGCTCGCTTTCCAAGGCTGACTGACAGCATCCGGGGCTGACGTGACGACCCGCGCCCCACGCAGGTGTGACAGACGAGCAGCGGCCAGCAGAGAACTAAAGCATACCCTCGCAAACTGCAGCATACCGTAACTTGGGGTTCTTAAGAAGAAAGCTACGAGTAGCATTGGCGTCGTTGGTTGGGGCTAGTTGGTACACCTTTGTCTATGTAAGTTCTCACTGCACGACCTAATCAATAGCGCGCCCTGCTATTAATAGGGCACGTATATGCCCTATTATTTATTTAATACATACTGCGGACTTAGTGTCCGCAGTATGTATTAAATAAATAAATAAATAAATAAATAAATAAATAAATAAATAAACTTGATCTAGTAGTGCATGTTCCTTTTTTTTTTTGGTAAATACACTATTTTCTTTTAGTCTCGCTTTTTATGTTTAACTCGTATCATGCAGCAGTTGTGCAGTTTCATTTCTTCCCCCTATCTCTCTCTTTCGTATCTGCTCCCTTTATCTGTCTTACCGTAATCCCTCAATGTAGGGTAGTTGATCAGAACCCTTTCTGGTTAACCTTCCTGCCTTCTCCCTCTCTGTTCCATCTCTTCCTTCACTGCTTCTTTCTCCACGACAACCAGAAGCTACTTCCGGATTCCGGAAATATATATATATATATATATATATATATATATATATATATATATATATATATATATATATATATATATATATATATATATATATATATATATATATATATTCCGGATTCCGGAATATATATATATATATAGCTTTACTACGACTCTTTTTTCACTCTCTTCTAGCGTTGTTCCCAGCAAGCCTTTCGTCTTGCGTACTTTCTGTAGGCGTCTTGAAGAAGGTAGCGGCCAAATAACTTCCCAAGGGAAGCACACGCAATTCCATGGTCACGCTAATCACGAAGAAGATTAAAGGTTTCATGCGACATCGTTTTCCCAGGATCCGCGTGCCGCGTTTAATTAAGGCCTTTAAAGTGCGCACACTCTCGAGGGCGCGCACACGAAATTGACGTTATTATAAACTGCATAAACAGCCCGCAATGTGCAGTGCATAGAACCGCGTAAACGCGGTACACGCGCGCACGACCGAAAGAAACGAGCCATACACAGTGCTCTGCAGTTCATCCTGCATGCGAGCCACGCACGCGTCAAAGTGGTGTCACGGGAATGGCTGCGGCCCCTCCGGCGATACCGCGCTCTGGGTCAAGACCTGGCTGCCCCAGAGAGGTCCGACGCGCGGGTCAGCTGGGCCAACTCTCACCCTTACCCGCTCCCCCGAACGTACCTTCCAAGGATCCCAATTTAGCAGCACGCGACGGCGTGAGAGGGGGGTGCGACGGCTTGAGAGGGGGGTGCGACCACGACCCCAACTCGTGATTGCGCCCGTTATGAATCTGTCGCGAATGGGCCGTGCGTGACTGACCCCTATACCTCGGTGCAGTGTTGCTGTGCGTCCGTACAGCGCATGCGCGAGGACCTGTGTACCCACGCGTAACGTGTGTGTGTGTGTGTGTGTGTGTGTGTGTGTGTGTGTGTGTGTGTGTGTGTGTGTGTGTGTGTGTGTGTGTGTGTGTGTGTGTGTGTGTGTGCGCGTTTGTGTGTGTGTGTGTGTGTGTGTGTGTGTGTGTGTGTGTGTGTGTGTGTGTGTGTGTGTGTGTGTGTGTGTGTGTGTGTGCATTCCGGCGTGGGAAACAGGTAAACCTTCCTCACTCCCGCGGTTCCTGTTGAACGCGGTCCACGTGTATAATAGCTGCTAGGCTTTTTTTTTTACGTCCCGTAACGACAAGACGACTAAGATTACGAGGGACGCCGTATTCAGAGTGGAGTGCTGCAGAAAATTGTTGCGATCTGGTGTTCTTAAACGTACACCCAAATCTAACTACACAGGCATCTAAAATTTCGCTTGTACCGATATGCGGCCGACGCGGTCGAGATTCGAACCCGCGACCTTCAAGTCAGGAAAAGAGCAACGTAACCCCGAGTCACCCCAGCGGTTTATATGAAGCTCCTCTATAGTTAATTGCGGCTGCAGTGCGGTGTTTCAGCTAATTTGCATAAAATATTTTTTTACTTTTTTAAAAAAATTCTCTGCACTTTAAGAAAGCATAAAAAAATTCGTAGGAGTGTTAGCGTAAACGAAATCATCGAGAACAATCGCAAGATATAAAAATAAAAAGAACGCCGCCTTTGCCCCGGGTGAGGATCGAACTCACGACCTTCAGATTATGAGACTGACGCGCTGCCTACTGCGCTACCGAGGCGGACAATGGGTGCCGCTTAGACAATATGGTGTTATGAGTCGAGTACCGAGTCATCAAAGCGCTCACAATCTTCTTTCTCACGATCAGCGAGGGAGTAGAAAGGCCGCAGTCCACGATTGTGGAGTCGCTGAGAAACAGGGAGCGTTTTCGCTGGACCATCCATGGTTGCTATTATAGCGAGAATACTGAAAGTTGGGCGAATTGTCATTGATTCATAGGTAAAACTTGCGCAAAAAAAAAGAACAAAAAAACACGGACGAGAAGAGCTGGACACTGCCGGATGGTAAACAACAGGCGTCAGAGCCGATGGCTCACAGCAGCTGCTGTATATACACCTTCGGCAAACGGCTCCCTGCATGGACGCCGTTATAGCCTTCTCTGGGCTACGCTGAATAGACGTGCCCCCTCCACCCATAATTACACTGCCAAGGTTGTGACGTCAGCCTTCGTACTCTCGCACGCAGCCCGGCATGGCGGCGTTTTATGATATATGTATGCGCGTGTGTCGCTCAGGTACCGCGTAGTTGTCGTGAATTATTTCGGCGCTTATACTTTACTTCTTCGTGAAAACAAATAAGTGCCCACAACTAAATGTCAGTGTGTTATTCGCAAGCACGTAGTCGGAAGTCACATGCTTTCATAAGAACAAAAGGAAGGAAAAGAAAAGGCGCACTAAAGAAAGTCCGAGAAAGAAAGAAAAAAAAAACGTGTCGGGCGAGTGCGTTCTTGCATGCTTGTAAGATCTGTGTATATATATTAAAGCCAAGCTACCAAAAAGGTGACCCAGTCACGATTCGGTATCGCGTTGCGCTCGTCAAACATATCGAAAGAACGCGAGGACGCGCGCAGGTCGCTGTTTCTAATTTAGTGCGCACCGAGGAGGGAGTATACATTCTGAACGACACCAATGGCTCCAGCGCACCATAGATCACGAAGAAGTAAAAAAAAGGGTTAAAAAGAAAGAACGCTCTTGAAACGTTACAGTCGCGTACACGCAAGATGAATACGCCGTGCACACGAATACACCACGCGCGCATTCAATGTGGTGGCCACCGCCACCAGTTTTGTGGAACGCGCAAATATACGCCTGTGCACGTTGTGTGGAAGGAGCCGGCTGACCAGCCTCTTCCCACGGCCGCTATATATATGCATACACGCGAGAATCGTGACCACAGAGCGACCGTGAGCGAACCCTGTTGCTGCTTTTCTTCTTTTTTTTAAACCATAAATCACTGCGAGCTCGACCGCCACCTCGCGGGCGGCTGTGACTTTTCCCGGAGTGTTGGTATACAGGTGAATGAAATTGGGACGCCGAGCGATCTTCGCGTGCGCCACATGATGCGCCATGGCGGCAGCCCGGAGTAATGAAATAAAAAAATAAAAATGTGGTTTAACAGATTAGAGCCGTTTTGTGC